GTACCCTCTGCCCGGACCCTGTCTACCCGCTTGTCCCCAGCAGGAACAACCAACACTGAGCACACACTGGAAACAACATTCCCACAGTTGCTCCGTGGGCCAGGGCAGGGAATTCAAGTGTGTTCCAGATTTGACTCCCCCACACCAACGCAGTAGGCCAGCCATGCATCCAGATGCTTGCGTCCTTCCAAGTCCGGAGACCGCCGGGCGCGGCGGTGAGCAGGTGCACGTGGCCCTGACTCGGCCGGCCAGCCTTCCAGGAGGCGGTGCCCGCCACGGCCACTGCCCGGAGTGAGGAGACGAGGGAGCACTCCCGTTTCCCTTTTCCAAATGCTCTGACGCCGGCAGCACTAGCACAGTGATCACAAGGTACACAGTTAGGGAGGACGCACACCTTTTTATTGTATTGTTATTTCTGCATGGATTCTTTCAAATTTTTTAAGAGGAATTTTTGCTATAGGGCATTTGTGCTCACTGAAAATACAGAAAGATAGAAAATAAGAACTCACCCTCCCCAGGGGGATGGCCATGCCTCAATCCCTTCTCCATCCTCCTCTAGGCATGCATGGCATATCCCGGTGTGAGTTTAAGCCACCAGGTCCGAGACTCGAACCACGGTCAACTACATGGGAGTCAAGTGACATAACCATTGCACCATCTGCTGGTCCCATGCATGGATTCTTAATCTAGTACATCCCGGGAAAAAAAATAATAGTAAGTCCAGGATTAACGAGAAATAAAGGTGTGCTCGGAGGGCCGGACGGGCCCGGGCTCTCTGGCGTGGTCAGCACAGGCCTCTGCGCGTACGGACACCGTGGTTTATCCGTATTCCCCTTTTCATCTTGAAGGAAGAGGAGCTGTGACTTTTACTAGTACATCGTCAGAGAGGAACGACTTGTACAAAGACAGGCGGGGGCCGCTTTCTCTGGAGACCTAAAAACAGGGCAGAACTCGGGCTCTGCCAGGGAGGTGGGGAATGGCGAGCGGTGAGAACGCTGGAGAAGAGGATGCGGAGAGCTCGGGGTCCAGTGCTCACTGCCCAGGGAGCAGCTCAAGTGCAGCTCACTGTGGCCGCAAGGGGACGGGGCAGTCCGGGGAGAGGCCAGGAGGGGCTACTGAGGTGTTTTAGGAGAAAGTTCTGGTAGCCCGAGGGAGCACGGCAGTAGGGTAGTCAGAAGTCGAGGACACTGAGGGGCCGCACCGGCAGCTCAGGGGGTGGCGGCCGAGGGAAGGGATCCCCGAGGGACAGCAGTGGTGCGGGGACCCCTCCTGACCGATAGCGACATCCCGGAATTGCTGAGAAGCAGCCTTGTCAGAGCCTGACCCATCTTACCTCCCAGGCTGTCGGCCTTCTCCCCTAACCCACCTGGTGCGACGGCTCAGCAGCTGTGAAGCGGGCGCTAGACTGGAACCAGTTCCCCGCCCTGCGGTGTCCAGGGTACACGCGAGATCCGAGGGCCATGATCCATGAACACGTGGCTGGTCTCAGCCCGATGGACAGGAATTTTGAATAAGGGGAGCAGGGGAGGTTTGAAACCCCACGGAGGAAGGGCTGATCTCAGGTAGGAAGACTTACCATGGGTGCTGGCTGGGAGATTAGGTGAGTCGTGCTGTTACAGTTTTTCTGAGGAGCAGTGGGTTGGCCCCGGGTTGGGGCTTTACTGGTGGGGTGGTGTAGAGAGGTAACTGAGGGTGTTAGCATGTGTCCGGAGCTGGAAGGACGACCGTGTGGCCGTGGGCCGTCCTCCCAGTCAGGCAGGGAAGCCTTGTCTCCAGGTACCGTCCGGGGGCGCTGGGGACGGCGGGCAAGGAGGAGCAGGTGCAGTGGCCCGTCTCTAGGCACCTGCAGCCCAAGGACCATGTGTCTTCAGTGCTGCGTGGCATTGAGGTGACCCAAGATGGGGGCTGGGTAAGATGGTGATCCCGTGTCAGAGGTCTTCTGGGGAAGGGGAGAGAGAAGGACTCAAGGCGTGACAGCACAGGAAGAGTGGGCCCGGCAGGTGGCACGCACCTTGGGCTCAGGGCTAGCAGCAGAGGTAGGGCACCTCCCTCCCACCAGGCTTGCCTGAGAGCCCCACTGCACTGAGCTTCCTTTCAGCCTGGGGACCCCAGTGAGAGGGCTTACATGTCCAAGGCTCCTCAGATATTGGGGTTCCAGAGGAAGAGGGCGAGAGTGGGAGAAGCAGCACCCCAGGGCACGGGGCTGTGGGAGAAGACAGGCAGGGAGCTTCCCTCTCCTCTGCGGGCCGGGCTGTTACAAACTAAGGATTAATTGGTGACAGTTAATTGTAACAGAGGCCCTCCGACTTTATTTAACTGCTCCGTCATCTGAGTCGCAAGGTTCATCTGGGGCTGGAAGAGCAGTCCCAGTGTCCCTGAGAACCTGGTTCCCCCTCAGTGCTCTCCGCCACCCCGAGCTGTCCTTTTGCCTTATCACAGAAGGGTGGCAGGGCTCCAGCGGACCACTTTGGGCTCCAGGTGTGGACAGAGGGAAGCCAAGGGCCAAAAGCAGGGAGCGCCAGGCGTGCCAGCTGCCCTCCCTCCTCCCGTGATCCTGTGCAGATGCCAGAGCCCCCACAGCCTGAGATTCAGTCCCGGCCAGCCCTTTTTGTGGAGAGGAAGGTAAGTAAGCTGGGGTGGTTGGGCACAGGTCCCCTGTTACGGGTGACCCTGGTCCTTGTCGCACACAGACTCCCACTGGTAAGCAGTCGGTATAAAACTTTCCTGGTTGAACAAAGCAAAATACACTCTCAAGAGAGGATAGCGGGGGGACCAGCAGTTAGCGTAATGACTGTGTCACTGGACTCCCATGTATTCGACCATGGTTCGGGTCCCGGACCCGGTGGCTTAAACTCACACCGGGCGCGTATGCGCAGGTACCCAAGATCCTGAGAAGAGAATGAAGGAGAAGGGATTGCGGTGTGGCCATCCCCCCAGGAGGTGATTTTTCACTTTCTTTCTCTATGTCTCTCTCTGTCTGTCTGGCGAGCGCACGTGCCCTATAGCAAAAACCTCTCCAAAAAAAAGAGGACAGTGGGGGATTGAAGTTGTCCAGCTAGCCCTGAGATGGCTCAGTAGACTGCGTCTGTGGTGACACTGGCACCCTCCCCTGAATGACCACTCTCCTTTCCTCAGGGGTCATCTGTGATTGGCAGTCAGGGCTTACGTAGCCTGTACACCTCTGTGTATGTGTTTCCTGGAGTGCATCAGGAAAGCCCATGCTGGGCGGGGCCACAGGGTCCATCCTGACCCCGGCAGAGGGAGCACAGGGGACCTGGGGTCCGTCCTAACCCAGGCAGAGCACGCACAGGGGACACAGGGTCCATCCTGACCTGAGCAGAGGGCACACAGGGGGCACGGGGTCCGTGCTGACCAGGGCAGAGTGCTCACAGGGAGCTCCAATGGGGTGTGTGTGTTCAGCCTGGAGTCAGGCAGAGGGTTCAGCCTTGAGGCAGGGGCAAGACAGGGGCTCAGCCTTGAAGCAAGGCAGGGTTGTCCTGGAGTAGCCTGACGCCCTTTCCATCAAGAAGTACTGACTGCAGGCCAGAACATCCTGCAGACCCTGTGTCCAGGGAGGGCCTTGAGTGGCGTGGAGGGGGTGCAGAGCCTGACCTGCTCTGCTCTCTAATACCTGGAGGGCAAATCAGGACCCCGTTTGAAGGAAATGGGGAGAAAGCTCTTGGGTAGGTAGCATGTAGCGGGTCCACCAGTGCTCAACAGGGGGCATAGCGTGGGTGACCAGGTTGGTGACCAGGTGACCAGGTTTCCAACTTGACCGGCCCTGGAGATCCCAGGTACAGGGCTCTCACCGTCCTCTACTGTCACTGGTGAACTTGGGGGAAAGGAATTCGCAGGCCTCCCCCTAGGCCTACTATCTTGGAAGCCCAGGGAGGGTGCAGGTTGGCTTGGAAAGGCCCTGCAGGAACTCCTTCCCCAGAAGTGTGGGAGCTGCTGCCCTGGTGCAGTGAGAGGTCCCTGGTAGTGACACGCAGCAGAATCACCTGCACCCTTAACATGTCAGCCCAGAGCCTGGTCAGAGGGTTCTGGTTCAGTAGGCCTGGGACGCCGGCCTGTGTCTGTGTGCTGTGGTGTGGCAGGTGACTCTGACATGGCTAAAAGCCAGATGGGGTCTGGGAGCTGCCATCCTGGTGCAGGGCCCCAGTGGGCTGGAAGAGGTCGGCCTCCCCACTGCCAGACCCGTGAGCAGGCAGTGAAGGGATTGCTTTGCTTTCAGAGTCAGGGAGGGTCCAAAACAGCAGCAGCCTCTAGATGGATCCAGCCGCTGGCCAGGGTTGCGATACCTCCCTGGACCCCTGGGCTCTGGCTGGGGAGACGCTGGCTTGTGTGGAAAGGGCAGGCCATGACTGGGTGGATTCCTTGGATTTCTCAGGGATCATCTCAGTTTTGAGGCTGCCACATGCCTTCCCAGCAAATGCCAGAGGCCTAGAGGTGTGGGGATGGTGGGTAACGTGTGTGGGCACACGTGTGTGTGTGCAGGGCATGCGGGCTGAGGCTAGCAAGGCGGGGGCCCTGGGTCTCACAGCTGAACATAATTCTGTTAGATCTCCAGATCTGTACTCCCCCCGATCATGGGCCTGAGGCTTGTTGTCACCTTACCCTGGCTGGGGACCAAGGTTTCCTGAGGGAAACCCACCTATCATGACATTGGTGCCTCCAGCTGGAGTAAGTGCCTGAGGGGACGTGCACCTCATCCCCCCACTTATCATGTGGGTAACATGTGTCTGCAAGCGTGAGGGCCCCCACCCCATTCAGGTGCCACCTCCTGCCGTCCCCTCCCGCGTCTTCTCTCACTGCCTCACTGTGCACAGATGAGGACCTGCATGGATTTCTTCCTCCTCAAAAGTCTAAAGACGGGACCAGCAGATGGTGTAATGGTTACGTCGCTGGACTCCCACATAACTGACTGTGGTTCAAGTTCCAGGCCCGGCAGCTTAAAACTCATACTGGGAGTATGTGCGTGTGTGCCCAAAATCCCAAGAGGAGAATGGAGGAGAAGGGGTTACTATGGTGTGGCCAACCCCCTGGGCAGTGATTTCTCACTTTCTGTCTCTCTATCTCTCTCTGTCTCTCTAGCAAGTGCATGCACCCTACAGCAAAAATTTCTCTTATTAAAAAAAAAAAAAGTTTAGGACCGGTTGAACCTAGCAGCCTTGCTGAACATCAGGCTGCCTGTGGCTGCAGACCCTAAGAGCCGGGACACATGGCTCATCCCCCCACCCCCGTGTGCCTTTGGACTTCAGGTTTGTGGCTTGAGACTTTAAGACAAACTTGTGCCTCTCTCCACCCTGGACACCAGGTTGTCTGTAGCTGCAGGCCCCAAAAAAACTGGATCCGTGGCTTGCCTCCCACCACCACCACTTGCCTTTGGACTCTCAGGACTTCAGTGTTTTGAATAGCAGGTGGCACCTTGTGATCTTTTCTTTGCTCCTAAGGTGAAGCTCAACAGCTCAGTTGGAGACTCACCTTTTCTTTAGAAACAGAAAGGACTTTGGGTCTCCCAGCACCAGTGACAACAGTGTAGGGTACTGGTGAGCAACAGGGAGGCAGAGCAGAAGAGAGAGCGCCAATGTTCTACTCCTGCACACATTTGATCAGAGGTACCTCGAATACTTTAGGAAGGAAAATATGGATCACCAGATGACTAGGAACAATCACAGAGGCACAATAAATATGAGCAACCAACAAAATGTCTTTCCCTCAAGAGAAAACGTCAATCCCACATCACCCACAGACAACACAATGGAAGTTGTGGACATGTCGGACAAGTAATTCAGGATATTTGTAGTGACCAAACTAACTGAGATGCAAGAGAAAAGAGACAATGAGCTCCGGGAGATGAGGAAGTCCTTCCATGATTTGAAATAAGAAATAGACACCTTAAAAAAGAATCAGATGAAATGGTAAGGATGAAGACTGTGATACAGGAAATTAAAATCTCCCTCAAAAGTATTAAAAGTAATGGGGAACCAGCAATTAGTGTAATGGCTATGTCGCTGGACTCCCACGTAGTCAACCACGGTTCGCATCCTGGACCCGGTGGCTTAAAACTCACACCGGGCACATGTGCGTGCATGCCCAAGATCCCGAGAGGAGAATGGAGGAGAAGGGATTGCGGCGTGACCATCCTCCCTGGGGGATGATTTCTCGCTTTCTGTCTCTCTGTCTCTCTCTGACTGTCTGGCAAGCGCACGCGCCCTATAACGAAAACCTCTCCAAAAAAAGGTATTAAAAGTAATTTAGATCACTCAGAAGAACGAATCTTGATTGTAGAAGACAAAACCTCTGACCTAGAAAAAAGTATCAAGAAGATTGAGAAAACAACCAAGAAAAATGAGGATAATATACGAGAAATACTGGATACCATCAAGTGCCCCAATATCTGGATAATTGGTATCCCAGAAGAGGTAGAAAATAATAAGGGCATTGATCATTTATTCCATGATATCCTGGAAGAAAACTTTCCAAATCTTGAAAGGCATTCAAATATCCAGACCCAAGAAATACATAGGACCTCAAGTAGAATCAACCCAAGAAGATCCTCTCCAAGGTACATCATAGCCAGACAGGCAAAAACAACAGACAAAGATAAGATACGAAAATTGGCAAGGTTGAAACGTCGAGTTACTTACAAAGGTCACCCCATCAGGTTAACATCGGACCTCTCGGCGGAAAAAATGCAAGCAAGGAAAAAATTGAGAAATATAGTCAAAGCATTGAATGAAGAACAGTTTCAACCAAGAGTATTATACCCGGCAAGATTATCTTTCATATGGGAAAAAAAGATAAAAATATTCTCAGATAAACAACACCTGAAAAAATTGACCAACTCCAGACCAGCTCTTCAAGATATTCTGAAGGGAGTGCTATACCAGGAAAACTAAAAAGTCAGACGGACAGTTATAAGAGAACAAACCAAGAAAACGGCTCATTTAATGATAGGAACAGGTCTGGAAATATTGATAATAACATTGAATGTTAATGGATTAAATTCTTCAATTAAGAGACACGGGCCGAATGGATTAAAAAAAAAAAAAGAAGAAAGAAAAGAAAAAAGAAAGAAACCCTCTGTCTGTTGCCTGTAAGAAATGCACCTTATGGATAAAGACATACATGGACTAAATGTGAAGGGCTGGAAGAAGATATTCCATGCAAATAAAAATCAAATAAGGGATGGAGTTGCAATATTGATTTCAGACAAAAATAGGCTTCAAGACAAAGAATGTAAGAAAAGACAAAGAAAGGCATTATATTATAGTAAATGGGTTAATTCAACAAGAAGAAATAACACTTATAAATATCTGTGCCCCCAACTCAGGAGCCCCTAAATATGTGAAGGAAAGACTGCTGGAGCTAAAAGAAGAGATATGGAGCAACGCCATAATTGTTGGGGATCTCAACACCCCATTATCTCCTTTAGACAGATATTCTAGACAAAAAATAAATAGAGAATATAGGACCAAAATGATATTATAAATTGAATGGGCTTGATAGATATCTATAGAACTTTCCACCCTAAAACCACAAAAATATACATTTTTCTCACCACAGCATGAAATCTTTTCAAAGATTGACCATATGATAGGGCACAAATCAAGCCTTTACAGATTCAAAGGCATACAGACTATATCTAGCATCTTTTCTGACCATGATGAAATTAAACTCAATATTAATTTCAAGAAACATCCTCGAAAATATACAAACACATGGAAACTGAACAACTTTCTTCTGAATGACTTCTTA